CCCGTCAAGTAACTTCCAGTTTGGCGGTCGGAATGAGAGATTTTGAGAAACCAACCGATTCAACTTCAAGTTTTTGGAAAAATTTGATCATCGTATTGTTCAACCAGGTTCCCCTAATGGTGCACCTTATTTCATCTATTAATGTCGCACCACGGGGTAGGTGATTGGTTGAAAACACTGAAACAGCAGAAAGCGATGCTTCACAGGCGAATATTGACCAATCCTGGAAGTTTCACGAGTTCACTCAGTGAATTTTATTTGAGACTCTATCATCTTCAAGGTGACATCACAGGAATTGAGCTTAGACATGGTTACACTCAAAGATGAACAACATGTTATAGAACTGCACAGCCAATGAAAGGAAGTATTGCAAATTAAATCAGCTCTGACACGGAAATTGCCCCCTAAATAATTCAGTGTTGGTGAACAGAGGCGCAGTTTAGCGTTCTATATATATGTGTGTGTGAACGTTTCTCGGAAATTTAGACGCAACATTTGTCATGTAAATCGCAGTTCAAATTCAGTACACTGACTGACTACCACGGACGACGACACCGGAACAAACATGAATTGGCAATTCGATTCAGCCATGGTATGAGCTGGTTGGCACAGTGGTAACGCACTTTACCTTCCATGAGATGGGTCCGGAGTTCAAATCCTGGACGGGACGGTGGATATGCACTACTGATGAGCTCTAATAAGAGCGAAACTCGAATCTGGTGCTTCCGAGTGAACGGTTGAATCGATAGACTGAGGATTGTGCGTGAAGGTGAAGTTCGAAGGATAGTCAGTCAAATCAATCAATGCATATATTTTGTTGCCGTAAATAGTGGATGCGAAATTTACAGTTTCGTGACACACGATGGTTTGCGTTATGCCGTTCTAACAGTAAAATACCCCTCTCCCCCACCCCGCAGCCGAAAAATCTTCATGTTGATAAATCTTTTGTTCCCGGAGTAGAACCAGAATGCCGTGATTTTCCTATTCCACAGTACCGGTGCATTCGTTATGGCCTATTCTGTTACTCAGTCCTAATGGGCCTAGATAGTAGAGAACTATTCTTCCAATACGTGGGGCGTGTGTGTGTGTGCGCGCGCGCGCACACACTTACATCCAATCCGAATTTCGTTTTCCAATTCATTTCCTTCGCGGCCAGATTTGCGTCCGCATACACCGCGGCCGCATCCCCCTCGCGACGTGGACACATCTTGTAGGGGATCGGTTTTCCACAGGCTTTTTCCATGGCCTTGATAATTTCCAGCACCGAGTACCCCGTCCCAGTGCCAATATTATAGATCTGTGAGGAGCAAAGCAATTGAGCACAGGGTTTTTAAAACAGTCAATACACACTCATTGCGCACATAGACATGTAACAGAAGCGAATCATCAATCTATGAAGGCCACATTGATAGGATATACAAACAAGTATACTGTTGCATGATAATAGAGTTAGTTACTGCCGAGAGAAGAGAGATATTCTATGGACTGAACATATGCATTACTTTATGGATCAATTGCGATTTGTTTCCATCATCACAAAACAGTTTTACTGGAGACAGTCGCTAGCACACCACGGGGTTCGAATCATTCAGACTAAAGCTAAAAAATCACTGAAAACTGGAGCACGTCATTACCAATTCAGAGAGCAATGAGCATTGGTTAATTGATTCACCCACAATGACAGCCGGTTTGTTCTAAAGTAAAAAACAGTACAAACTCAGCAAATCGCTCATGTGTAAGTCGGGTCTTGAGTGGCTTCCAGTTTCTAACGTATGGCGAGAAAGGTATGGTGAACTATTAGACATATTGACAAATAGACACTAAACCAACAACCAGCAGCGCTGTCTGTATTATTGTATTGTATTCCAAATGACTTGTGCAGGCAACTGTGCCTACATTTCAATCGAAAAATGTGTTCATCGGTACAGTGGGATAAAAAGTAAAATGGAGATTCATATACAACAATGATAAAAATCTATTACGTGTTCATTTTTTGTTGGTCTAAAATTAGTTCGGTACGTATCCTCACCGTGTCAGTGAGAATACCAGCCAGATAGGGAACCGTTGAATGGCGATAAATGCTTATGCCAGAGGGCAAGCAACGAAAATTGGATCGGTTTGTAGCGCGTGGGAACGACAAGCAGATAAATGGGGATTGAGCGGATGACTGGGGTCATTGAGTGTCTCGTGAACAAAACATTCTCACATGAACAGATATGGAAATCACGCAATTTTGTGATTAGAGTGTTTAAATAAATAAGAGAACCACGGTTGATAATTACCAAACCTCGACGTTGAGTAATAAAATCCTTTCTAAGTAGTCCAGGGAAAATAACGGGCGGACAACGAAGTATGACAGGAAAAATGCATTGATAAATAAAGGAACTTACAGGTTTACGCTTCACTCGAAATTGTTGTAGCTTGCGTATTTGAAAAGCCAAGTGATGCAGTCTACTAACACAAGTACGCACATGAGAGGACCACTGTAGATTGCTATCTATGGTGACTCCTAGGTATTTGGTGTTATGTGTTCTGATGACAGTTACAGAATTGATGATTGAGGGTTCCAGGGGATAATTAGATTGGGAAAGACTAAAAATGCATTCAAAGCATTTAGAAGTATCGAACCGGAGACCGGATTGATTGGAGAATGACTGCACTTGTGATAAACCGTTGGAAAATGATTCTGTCCGGTTGGTTTGAAATGACTTGACATAAGACCACATCAACAGCATATTTGAAGAACCTGGCTAGTGGGATTGATGTCAAGTCACTGACAAAAATTGAAAATAACAAGGGAGAGTGCATAGCGCCCTGAAAGGGTCCAGAATTATTCAGTAACGATTTCGCACTAGTGCTCTGAATTCTTCCGGTGAAATAATCTTCCAACCATGACAATTAGGTGGTGGGGCGACCAAATGACTGCAACTTTTGCAGAAGAAGAGATTGTGGAAAGGGAATCAAAAGCGGAACAATAGTCAACGAAATCACAGGGAACCGACTTTCAAAGTTTGTAACCGTTTAGGTTAGGAGGTTATATTATAATTCAGATAAAACAGAATAGTGCACAGTGTTGGATTGCAAATCACGGGAAACGTTGAACCCACATATTTTGATCGTCCACGGAAGTGGCACATTAATGTCCCCCTTCGTGCGTTCACTTAGATCCCCGGGTACCTAATGTCGAGTAGATCTAGGGATAATTTTATCGATTTCAGTATGAGAAAGAATATCCATGATTTTGTTGCTATGGTAACCGTCATGGGGTAGATGAGCTATTGCTTTGCTATCTTTCGTCCACTATCTCTACTTACATATCTTAGGCGTGTCCGCAGACACGCACACAAACACAACTTCACATTATATCAAACAGGTTTATTAATAACCTTGCCTTTCCCTGTATCTCGGGGTTTAGTAGCTTGGTGGAACACTGATAGCCGAGAGTGATAATTCAAACGTTTCAAACGTTTCGTCACCAATCCAAGTGAAGTTGTTGGTTCACAAAAGTTTACCACTATTCAATAACTGAACTGAATAGGTGAGTCACTTCACACCAATTGAGGATTTGTTAGACGGATAGACTATAGGGACAGTACGCGTGTTTGGTGTTTCGTAGCCAGTCGGTCGGTCCAATTATGTTCTTCCGCATGATCGTATACTTCTGTTCAACCCCGTTTGATTCTGCATTGATTTGTCTCTCCTTTTTTCTCACGGTATTGGTGAGTTAGTCAATTTTTGTGCTCGTTGACAAACGAGAACCACGCTATTCGTTTTGTGGTCCTCGAAGTTTAAGTTATGTCCATACTGATTCCTTATCTGCCAGCTTTGTGGAACAGTGTCATTTTCAAGTCAAGTCAAGTCAAAAATCGCTTTATTCATCCTAGTGGATGAATTCTCAGCTTCTTGCACTCCGGGAACATTTTTCACCGCATACAGTCACAAAACAGTGAGAAAAAAATAGCATCGTCAATTCAAAGAAATGTGAAGTAAAAAGTTTGAAAATGAATATCGATTGTGTAGAAAATTCAAAAAGTCTTCTATAACGGATGCCTTTTGAGCCAGAAATCTCGAAAGATAGGGGATGACGGACAAACGATAGGCAGTGGTACGGGTATACACCAGTTTATAACGACATCTTGTTACAGAAGTAGATATGCATTGTTTAATTTCTGTGTAATGGGTGAGTGGTGTCTGATAGAATATTGTTACAGAAGTTATCACAACAGGTAAAATGTTTATCGGCGATAAAGTTACGCAAGTGCAAATAAGGAATACCGCTTGTGCGAGAAATAATTTTAATAGACCAGCGTAGAATTGTGTAATCTTTAGCTCTAAGACCGGCAAATAAAACCGGGGAGCAGCAGAGAAGGTGAGTAACAACACCAGAATATACAAATCGGGTTAGTAAATACAGTGGAACGTTCAAAGAACGCAAGCGGGTAGTAAAAAAACACAACCGTCGAATCTTTACAAAAGTAGAAGTTAAGTGTGAGGTTCAAGTGAGATCTCGGTAGATAGTGACACCGGGGTATTGTAGAGAGTTTACTGGAGGAACAGGCTGGTTGTCAACAGAGAGTGCTGAACAATTTCTTTCAAAAGAATGTAGCCGTTCTCCTTTGGCGAGCGAAAAGGTGACATCACTACATTTAGATGCATTGAGAGATAACTTGGAAGATGAAGACCATAAGTTTAATGCAGATAAATTGGTTTGAAGATGTGAGAAGCGGAAATCACCTTGGAATTTGAAACCAATTGTGACATCATTAGCATACTTAATAAGAAGATCATTTGGGTTAGTGGGAAGGTCACTAATATAGAAAGAGAAAAGAAAGGGGGACAAAATTGCTCGCTGGAGCACCCCTGAGTTGACTGGTAGGGAGCCAGAGGTTTTTCCAAGAAACTTTGTGAATTGTGTTCAACCAGCAAAATAATCTTGGAGTAGTGTGAGGATATTATTAGACGATCAAATTATGCTTTTATGTTTTTTCCGGCAAGATAGCCATTTTATGTTTGTCCTGAACGATCGCATTTCCGAATATCACTCGTTAGGTGGCTGTATGACCTTTGAGCTTTCCATTCCCTGACGGTCTGAAATTCATTTCATTTCTTTCTGACCTGGTGACCGAGCGGTGAATACCGGCGCTTCTAGACGACAATATATTTGCAGTGGTCTGAAGGTGTTCCGTTTGGGTCGTTCAAATGTGAGTGTGTAAAGCTGCCGCTTTCCGCGTTGTCCAATACAATACAGTGTCTTTCCAACAATCAAACGCTTCTATTAGGCCACTGGTTTTAATTTCTTTCATTCGTATAAAATACAAATAAATTGGTCTTGTGAAAACAAAAAAAATAAACAATGAGAGATTGGGATCAGTGGAGCAGACAGTTCTTCTCCAGTTCGGGTCGAAAAGCTGTTTGTCAACAAACTAGGCTGGCCTTGATGAGGGGATTCGGATCTCGAATTTGGGAGCTCATTGCATGTGGATAACAGACCACGGAGCGTGCAACAAAGCAACGACAACAACAACAGCAATCCTCACTTACGTTTATGCATACAGATCATGTCTCTGCAGGCTCTTACCTTCAGTCCACATTTTGTGTCCAGCATGTGAATCGAGACTATGTGAGCTTGTGCCAAGTCCACAATGTGAATGTAGTCCCGTATGCCTGCAACAAGGAAAAGTGTGAACGAGTTTAGGGCCACGCGATGTGCACATTAGCACATGGACAATAATCCAGTTTACGGATGGATAATCAAATTGTAACCGTATTAGGTCTGTGAAACTCGGTAACCAGACCGATTTGAGGTCTACCAATTGACCGGTTACGTATCCTGTATTTTGGAATT